GGTTCTGTTGGGTCAGGAGGTTCTGTTGGGTCAGGAGGTTCTGTTGGTCAGCAGCATCCAGGTGTGTATTAAGACAATGCCGAGGAGGAACGTCATCAGCAATGACCTCAGTCTGACGGTCGTCCCATCAAATTCACCCTGAAGGTCAGACCGTGCAGTGACCCTCAGTCAAAGGTCAAAGGTCACGACCTCGTCTCTAAAAACAACATGGCGGCTCAACTAGTTTCATCTGAAGGAAGTACGAGACTTCTGGACCAGAACCAGAACCAATGGACAGAACCAAGGTCCAGTCAGGGTCCAGAACCTGTAACAAGTGTCCGGATCAGGAACCTGCAGTGACACTGGACCCGGACAAACACTGGGCCGGGTCTCCAGAGGTAGAGAAGTCCGGACCCGCTCACCTCCTGGCCCAGCAGGGCGGCCACGCAGGCCTCGGAGGCGTCGCAGATGGCGGTGAGGTCGTGACCTCCCTCCAGCGCCAGAACCAGCCGGCCTCCAGCGAGCGTCATCAGCTGCCGGGTCAGGAAGCCGAAACCTGCGGAGACACGTCACAATCTGAACACCAGAGCCGAGTTCTGGAGGACAGCCGGGTCTGTGGACCCGCGTCCAGCATTAGGACCGGATCAGAACCCGTCGCTCACATTTGGACGTCAGGGTGTAGCCGCCCAGAGGAGGGGGGTGTCCCTCCACGGCGTCGAAGCCCGAGGAGACCAGCACCAGGTCCGGGGAGAACTCGTTGGCGATGGGCATCACCACACACCTGAAAGACGAGCAGAACTCAGGTCCAGAACCCAAACTGAACCGGGTCGAAGCGTACGGACATGGAACATGGACTCACCTGAAAGCAGCCAGGTACTCTGCGTCCCCCATGGGGGGGTCCAGGCCTCCAGTGAACGCCACGTTCACGTTGAAGCCCGCCCCCGGCCCGCTGCCCACCTGACGAGCCCAGAAAACAGAACACAGACCCAGTGTGACCAGAACTTCACAAACATGGGCTTTTATTTTGGAGCGGTCAGTAAACAGGATTTTATTCTGAAAAGCCTAAACATCCTGTTTCCTGTAACTTCACAAAATAAATCAAATAAACGGACGCTCGGGACAATCCTCGGTGCAGGTTTGGATGCGATAATCGTCGCAGCGTAAAACAACGACGTCGTGCTTTTATTTCATCACTTCCTGTTTTTATTTTTGTGTCTCTGAGCGTTTGCTCGAATTCTCCGGAGGATCCTTCGGTCGCTCCGGAGGATCCTTCGGTCGCTCCGGAGGATCCTTCGGCCGCTCCGGAGGATCCTTCGGCCGCTCCGGAGGATCCTTCGGTCGCTCCGGAGGAGGCGCCGCCGCATCCGAGTGGACGTTGAGGAAAACGCTCGCCTGCTGCCCGAGGAAACGTTCAGCACATAAAAGTAGCTGCACATGCATGCAGGCTGCGGCACGGCCCGCTGCTTTCGCCCACTGCAGGACGTCGTTAGCGGCTGCACCGCGCTCCGGCTGCTCGCCGGAACATCTGGGACGAGCAAAAACATCCAGAAAGTGGTGATGCATGTCTGACCAGAGTCTGAGCAACAAGGCCTGGCTTCCTGCCAGATCTGGACTGGGGGGGTCCCGCCTAAACTCTGGACTGGAATTTTAGGTGAGGTCGGCTCTGACTCACGTCGTGATTTAAGAGTTCTGTTCGTTTACAGGTTTTGGGATCCGTCTAACGTCTGGTGAGGTCGAACTCACCTCGTCGGGCGCTCCGCTTCCTGGGAAGAAGTTTCCGTCGTCGTAGCGATGGATGGACAGGTAGAGGACATTGGGGTCGTCGTAGAAAGCCTGCTGGGTCCCGTTGCCATGGTGGACGTCCTGGGGGGGGGGGGGGGGGGGTAGACACGTCAACACAAAGCTGTGTTCTGGGGACGTACGGCAGGCAGGAAGTACTGACCCAGTCCACGATGAGGATCTTGTTGACGTTGAGTCTCTGCTGCAGCAGTTTGGCTGCGATGGCCACTGAGTTGAAGTAGCAGAAGCCCCTGAAACATCAGCACAATGTCACTTCCTGCAGCTGAATGTCACTTCCTGCAGCTGAATGTCA